TTTGAAAATAATGATGGCAGCATATGTACAAATGTGCATGTCACAATGGATGAATGTGTGGATTGTGGTAGAAGATGTAAGAGCCCCCAATAAAAGTATTTAATAAAATAATTTTTAAATAAAATTTCGTCAGCATCTTCTCAAAAAAATAAATAAGGGTTGTACAACACAATGAGAAAAAGCAAGGGCACTGAATTATGTATACAAAAGTTGTTGATTGGAGACTGTTTTGTTGTGGATATCTTTATCACAATGAAAAAAATAAGTACTAAATTACAATGAGTACAAGAAGAAAATGTTCAAAAATTCATTGTGATCATAATTATACAACTCCTCTTGATGATTGTACTACTGAATTGTATGATAGATGAATAAACTATTTTAAAACTGTTTTAAAAAGCAAACAAACTCTAAGGCCACTTACCTATGAGCATCACAAATTTACCTGACTCCTCCATTCCCAAATTGTCCCTATTAGAAAAAAAAAAAGTCAAAGTGGTAATTACCTCACAGCAGGGAAGCACAACTGTGAAATTATCTTTACTGGCTCTCTGGATGAGGATCTCATGTTGGGTTGTGATCACCTATGTGGGGCTGGGCCTCTCCCTGCTGTGCCTCCTCCTGGCAGCCTTCACCTTCCTCCTGTGCAAAGCCATCCAGAACACCAGCACCTCCATCCACCTGCAGCTCTCACTCTGCCCATTCCTGGCCCACCTGCTCTTCCTCATTGGAATCGACCAAACTGAGCCCAAGGTACTGACAGTGTCCCAAAGGTCTCCCTGCCCTGTCTAAGAGAGGCTGGACTCATGGACCCATGCTGTACTTGACCGCTTAGTCAAATGGCCTTAAGTTCTAGAAAGGTTGGAGAGATAGGTAGTCCTCTCTCAACCAGAACACTTCACCCATGAGTCTCTCCCAGGTGCTGTGCTCCATCATTGCTGGTGCCTTACACTACCTCTACCTGGCTGCCACTGGAGGGCCTGAACCTCCTCCTCACTGCGAGAAACCTGACGGTGGTCAACTTCTCCAGTGTGAGCAGATTCATGAGGAAGCTCATGTTCCCTGTGGGCTACGGAGTCCCGGCTGTGATTGTGGCCATTTCTGCAGCAGCCAGGCCTCACCTTTATGGAACATCTGCCCGGTAAAAGCAATTCCACCTGTGTTTAGTCTCTATAGTTCAACCACCACCAGAGCATATTAGAAAAGAAACGAATAACTCCTAGGACATGTCTCTAGTGGAAGAGCATCCTAATGAAGGAGTCTGTCTTTAAGGTTAAGAGCTGGGGAACGAGAATCAGCCTGGAGGTAAAGATCTTGTCAAGGTAGAGTGGAGAACTGTCCAGGAGGAGTGTGTGAGGTTGCCAGGCTCAGCGCTCAGTACAGGGAGAGAAGAGAGAGTAAAGTCTGAAAGGCCAGGTTGCCAGTGCCCCTCTCATCCTAGCTCATCCTTGAGACAGCACAGATACAATCAGAAGAAGCACCTATGTGACATCACTGATTTATCTTACCCACTTCTTTACTCAAATCTTAGAGGATACTCCAATTTTTCATTTGGAAAAGCAGAGTTGATTTAAAGAGTCAAAATAATCTCAAATCCCATGGCTGATATTTATAAGGTGTTTCCTGTGTGCGAGGCCCTATTCTACGCTTTTTGGCATTTATTAACATGTGAAAACCTCAAATACTACAAAGTAGATGTTGCCACTCCCCACCTCCCTTCAGTAGTCTGTTTCTGTATGAATTTGTATGCTTCATCTAAATTACATAAATTGTTGACATACAGTTGTTGATAATGATCCCTAAAGTCAGTACTGATGTCTCCTCTTTCATTATTTCGTAATTTAGCTACATTGACCAGGAAAGTCTTTCTTCTTGATCAGTTTATCAATTTTATCAGTTTATCAAATTTAGGAAAAATAATTTTTTCCATCCCTCTTTGTCCACCTTTCTCTATTACTTTTCTTATTCTTTTATTCCTCCATTCTAATCCTTATGAAATGAGGCCTGGTCGTCCAAGTGAATTACACATTGGGCTGATAATTTCAAGAGCCATGGTCCAAACTCATCAGTTGCTCTGTGCAAGAAAGATGAGCCTGTCTGCTCCAGTAAAGATTTACATCTTGGACCCCACAGAGGCATTTCCACTCTGACCTATAGGGTCATTAAAAAGCACAAGAGGAACTCTTACTATTTCCTTTTTTCTGCTTGTTTCAGGCTTACTTTGCTCCTTTTCCTAGTTTACTTACAACAAAAGGTGAGATTATTACTTTAAAATCGCACTTCTTGTTTTTTTTACATAGGCATCTACACCTATACATTTCTTCCTAAGCACTGCTTTAACTGTAAGTTATTTGGTCTACTGTGTTTTTGATTCTTTTGTCTCAAAGTCTTTTCTAATGCCCATGTGATTTTTCATTGGCCCCTGGCTTGCTTGGGAAATGATGAAATTCACAAGGCTTCTTTTGTTGTTGATTTCTAATTTAATTCCATCATGGTGATGGAAAGTACTGTTGTGTGACCCCAGTCCTTTTCCATGTACTCACAGGCTTCCTTTCAGGTCTGTGGCGTGGTCGACCCTGAAGAAGATTTTCTGCGGGCTTTAGGAGAATGTGTGCCGGGTACGCCGAGGTTATGGACTGGAATGCTCCCGCGACAGCTGCTGGAATTAGTTGGTTTGTAAAGTTGTTCAAGCTGGTCTGTCTAGTTGATCAACTCATTATTCAAAGGGGATATCGAAGTCTTCAACTATTATTGTTGAATTTTCCTTTTCTCCTTTCCAATGTGTCAGGTGTTCTTCATGTATTTGGGACTCGGTGGCTGGCTTGCATATATGTTTATAGTCATTCTATCTTCCTTCGGGATGAACCCTCTTATTAAAATAAATGGCCTTCTTCGTCTCTAGTAACCATTTTTGTCTGAAAGTCTTTTTTATCTGGTGTTTATACACTCCAGCTCTCTGAATCTACAGTGCCTCTCATCTAGACAGCACATAGTGGGATCGATTTTGTTACGTCCATATAACCATCTCTGACTTCTGACATAATTTATTTCGTTTGCTTACTGATAAGGTGGGAGGCCAAGTGGCACAGTGGTTAAGTGTTCAGTGGCTAACTGGAAGGTTGGCAGTTTGTACTCACCAAACACTCCACAGGAAAAAACGTGGTGGTCTGCTCCCCCCAAACTAGGCCAAACCCACAGCTGTCAAGTTGATTCTGCCCCATAGTGATGCAGAGGGGAGACTAGAACTGCCCCTCCAGGTTTCCAAGGCTGCTGGCAGCTGAGCACTTAACAACTGTGCCACCAGGGCTTGTTCCATAAATTATGGAGTAATTCTACTCTCCACACTCACTCACGTCCATTCCAGCTGACCTATAGGACAGAGTAGACCTGCCCCTTCGGGTTTCTAAACCTGTAAGTCTTTACAGGAGCAGAAAGCCTCAATGTTCTCATGGAGAGCAGTTGGTAGGTTCACATTTCTGACCTTGAAATTCACAGCACAATGCATAACCATCTATGCCATCAGGGCTCCTTGAGTTCGTACTCTGCCTTATAGGATAGGATCACTGTGAGTCAGAATTGACTTGACCACTATGGCTTTTAGGGATACAGTTATATTTACAGAGATAAGGTAGTGTTTACAGTGGCAAGATAGTATTTAGATCTTTCATTTTGCTGTTTGCATTCCATGACATATCTTTTTAATTCCTCTATGCCTTATTTTTTGCCTTCTTTTAGGTTAAATGTATATTATTTAATGAATCTATTTCATTATCTGTTGTTTCGTTTATTTTATATTTTCAGTTGCCCTAACAATTGCAATTAACAACTTAAAGCAAGCTACTTAGGAGTGATATCAACATTGTCAATGGTATACAAAAACTTGACTCCAATATTCCTCCATTTCCTTGCCCCTCCTTTATAATAGTATTGGCACACAAATTACATTATTGCGTCACACGCTTGACTTTTTTATTACCTGTTAGGAGAAGCAAAAGTTACAAACAGAAAGATAAGAACTTTCTTTTACCTTTATAGCTGCCTTTACTGGTACTCTGTATTTCCATCTCTCTCATGGCCACTGAGTCGATTCTGACTCATGGTGACCCAATAGGGCGGAGTAGAACTACCCATGTGCACTTCTAAGACTGTAACTCTTCATGTGAGTAGAAAGCCTCATCTTTCTCCTTCAGAGCAGCCAGTGTTTTCAAACTGCTGACCTTGTGATTAACAGCCCAACATGTAACTCACTGCATCACTAGGGCTCCTGCTATTTCCACACAGATACATGTTATCCAGATAAAGTCTTCAAAAGAAGGAAAGAAATTAAGACATTATACATTTTTTAAAATGAATTCTTGCTAGCAAGCCTGCTCTACAAGAAATCCTAAAGGGGTTATTTCAGACTAAAATGAAAGAAAACTAGACAATGCCATGTATCTTATTACCTATCTTATTCATATATATTAGTGTTACTGTCTAATTTTCTTAAATTTGGAGGGCTATATATGGAATTCATGGCTGTAAGTTTTTTTCTGCCAACCCTTTGAAGGTACTAGCTCACTGCCTTTTAAACTCAAATATTTCAGAGAAGTCACCTGTTAATCTTATTGAGGATCTCTTGCACATACATTAATTTCCTATTGTTGTTGATGAATTACTGTCTTTGACTTTTGTCGATTTGACTGTGATGTGCCAATATGACTGTGATGTGTCTGATCTATTATTCTAATTGGAGTCTGTTGCTATTCATAAGGTTTTCAATGGCTCATCCCTCAAAAGTTGGCAGCCTTTAGAACAGTGGTTCTCAACCTGTGAGTCGCGACCCCTTTGGGGGTCGAACGACCCTTTCAGAGGGGTCACCCGATTCATAACAGTAGCAAAATGACAGTGATGAAGTAGCAACGAAAATAATGTTATGGTTGGGGGGTGACCACACATGAGGAACTGTATTGAAGGGTCGCGGCCTGAGGAAGGCTGAGAACCACTGCTTTTGAAGCTGCACTGAAAGCAGTTCTTCTTAGGTGGCCCTGCTGGTATTTGAAATATCTGTGACATGGCTTCCAGCATCACAGCAACATGGGAGTCCCTGCAATACCACCAACTGGCAGACAAGGAGTGGCACTATTGTCATACAAAATTGTTTTTTAGCTCACTGTTAATTGAGTCGATTACGACCCATGGTTACCCTATACCTTCTTTCAATTCTTTAAAAATGCTTTACTCTACAACTTTTAACAAACTTATAATGGCTAATCGTAAAACTTTGCTTATTAAGTCTAAACCTGGATTCCCCCAGGGACATTTCCTGTTGGCTGATTTTTTTCCCTCATGTTATGTTACATATTTTCCCTCTTTTTATTGCTCATTATTTTTTGTTAAAATTGGACATTTTACATACTAGCACCTCTAGTATCATCCAATGGTTATTTGTTGTTGTTGTTGTTTTGGTTTGGTTTGGTTTTTTGCTCTGGTTTCTGGTTGCTACTTATCTATTTAGCAACTTTCCTGAACTAATTCAGTAGGCAGTATTCCCTGAAGTGTGGGTCCTCTGAGTTTTCTGCTAAGTTTTCTTTTTTTAATTAAGCCTTGTTTGTACTTTTAATCCTGGCTTCCTAGGGGTCACACAGGGTAATTTAATTTAGTGGTCACCCAATGATTGATCAGAAATTTTCCTTAAATGAATGACTGTATGTTTTCCACCTTCTTCAAGGAAGAATACATAAGAAACACAAGTAGCCTTCAAAAAGTTCATTAAAAAGTTATTTTCTCTTTCAATTCTATTTCCTCAAAAAGCCCCTTCTGACTTCAAAGATAAGGCAAGCTTATCTTTTCCTTTCTTCTTGTACAGTCTCAAGGTCAGCTAACGGTGAGAGACGTGCTTTTCCCCAACATGCTTTCCTGAGCATGGGCACTGCCTTTTGCCTAGTGCAGCCTTTCAGGTCCCTAGGGATGTGTCAGGACTTTTCAAAGTTCCCTACGGTCCCTTAGTTCTCCAGTTAACTTTTTACATTCTTGGCCAGGCCTCTGTTGGTCTCAGTTGAGCATTTGTTGGTCTCAACTGAAATCATCGCCTTTGACAGCCTGGTGATGTTGCCAGCAATCGTGGCGATATCCTGGGTATAGGCTTTTTTGGTCCCTTGCTGGG